TTGACACGGACGACGACGACGGACAATCACTCATATGATAAGCTCCGCTCGACAAAGTCGACAGCGGAGCTAAAAATTGACACGGACGACGAACGCCAGACAATCACTCATATGATAAGCTCCGCTCGACAAAGTTGACAGCGGAGCTAAAAACAAATGTCAAAAACATAGTATATATTATTAGTATAAAGGTTTCTATTCACATGCACATAAAGCACATACTTTATTGTGTCCAATCTCAAAACTATACAAATTTAAGGATAATTTAGCTCCTGTAAATTTTTGCATTGCTTTACAGCTTCAAGAATTGTGCATATGGGAAAAAGCAGATAGATGGATTGAGTTGACTTTACAAATAAAAGTGACATGCATCAACGCCAGTGATAGTTACACCTTCCATCAAGTTTGAAGAAAATCAAACGCCGCATGCCTAAGGTCTGGTTTCAGATGTGTCTAAATACCTGATTTTAGTGATTTTATTACAACTAAAAGTTAGCAGTCGGTATGGTGTATGTGTGCCATGATGTACAATCAAGGTATAAGTAATAGCATTACAAGGCTAGACAATATATGATAACCAATATACTAAATCTCCTCATTGTACTATGTATGAGTGCAATTACGGACTATACAGTTAACTGACACCTTGCAATGATGACTTTTCCTTTAACAGCAGAGACAAACAATTTCTGAAGAATATTCACTTACCGCTCATTGGTCTTGAGATTGGGGTACGTGTTATACTGTCTTCTTCTTGTGGAAGACCAAATATTTTGGCCATTTCTTTCTTATCAGGAGGTGGGACCGGATATCGACCTATTGACATTTCTACCAATGATAGTCCCATACTCCAGATATCTGACTGCACCGAGTAATGGGTGCCTTGTAGTCTTTCCGGCTGCAAATAAGTGAGATATGTAGTGATATAAATGTATGTTTTTATTGCATCAGATACAGTGTATGTTTCAATGACTGATGATTTTTAGCTCAACAATCATTGCAATACTTTTCACGAGAGTGGAGATTTTTGTTGGTTCAATGTTTACACTTGAGCTTTCTGAGGCACAGATAGATTCAACCTCCTGGAAACAGTTATATTACAGAATTGTTTATGTATGTACTGTTGAATGCAGTAAGTAGTACAGGTGTTGTAAGACACACAAGTGTCAAATGTTCACTGTAACAACAGCACAGACATGTTGGTAGTGCTAACAAATGGCCCACAACCTAAAAAAAAAAAGTGTATTGTCACAAAAGGAAAGCTACTTACTGACATATACGATCTGGTTCCTACAAACGAATTGGCCATTGAGTCTATCAATTGGCCGCTGACACCAAAATCGCACATTTTAATCTCACCCCTTGAATTCACCAAAATGTTTGATGGTTTTACATCTGCAAGCGAGTGAGCGAAAATAAAAGTTGTTAAAAGATCTCAACAACTTGGGAGGATTATCATTTGGGGTTACTACACACTGAAGAACAATGGGAAATCAATTTGTCAAATCACAATAATCCAAAATGAATGGCATCATTTTTCATACAAAATCTGTATTTACTGTACTTCCCCAGTCATAAAGCCCAAGGGCATCAACATGTAAAATTTGGGAAAGCAAGGGGTTGGCTTATACCATCTCAGAAAAGGCGATTTTTGTTTGTTTGTTTAACATTGTAACCATGTTACTACCCTCAACAAATTATCCAAATCACATTTTTCTTTTACAATGCTGGGCTTGGGAGAATATTATGTCTTAACACGGGGAAAAAAATGAGGTGTCATTGATTTGCACAACACTTTTACAATGAAGAAATAACCGTGTTCACAAAACCATGCACATTTTATTGAAACACAATTTACCTTCTGAATTTATGGTGTAAAAATGATTAGCGTCTGTGGGAAAATGCAAGGTCTATATCATCGTTGTGGGATGTTTTCGATCGTACGCAAACTATTGATGCAAAACAATTACCGCCATTATGTTTTTCAGCACGATTTGACAATCAAAATACTGTGTCGGAAAATTTTCGAATTATATTGACAATGTAATTTTTTTAATGCAAGGCGGAAGTTAATTCTCGCAATGTTAAAATATAATCTGTTAGCACTGATTTCACTAAAAAACTGGTGATTCGCAATTTTCAAAAAGTGAACTGAGTGTGGAGGGTGCATGTAACACTGTTTACAGTCGCCAAAAGGCCATGTCGAAACATAGTTCAACCGTTCCCACCCCATTCACAATAGTCTCAATGGACATCGATTATTCAGAAAAGTATTATTCACAACTTTGAAAGCTACCCCTCAAAGAGATTTGGATTATGGAGTATTGCAACACTGGGTTCATCATGAGTAATAACAGAACAGAAAGAGCGCAAACCATGTAGTGTTATTCGCCATTGCACTGTGAAATCAACGCGAGTATTCTCAGAACTAAAAGCATGAACTCTTGTCAAAACAAAAACTACTGTACCAATTACGATTTTTTATGCTATGAAACACATTTTTTATATGCATATTCTAATAAATTTTAACCCATTGTCGGCACCCGGAAACACCCTAAGGCCTATAACCGAGGATGACCTGAAAATAGGGGGTGGGCTTATACCTAGGAAGGGGCTTATGACCGGGGAAATGAAGTATTTAATTTTTTCCCCCAGTGATATATAGTTAACTTTGACCTTCAAAGGAAGAGCATAATTACATATGGAAGATACTTACCCCTGTGCATTATCTGGTGCTTTTCTCTCAAGTAAGATAGCCCCTTAAGAACCTGCAGAAAGATGAAAGTGAACCAGAGTGAATACAGACTCTGGTAGCTGGCTCTACAGGCAATATTAAAGCTCATTTCGGGATAAGTTTATGTATTGATGCAGTGTTGGTAATATTTTTTTTTGAGCACATAGCATGAAAGAAAGATATCAATATTGTTTTGAGTTATCTTCAGTTTTAGCTGTTAAAGAACTCTCTATATGCACTGGCGATGCCAAGGATCAGTGATTTTTTTTTAAATGAGAGAGCAGGGGTGCAGCGCCCTCATGCCATGGCCATGCGCCCCCTTACCCTGGGAAGCAGATCCTCTGGCCACTATAAAATTCTGATTGACCAGGGATCACATGTAGCCACAGTCTTCAACTGTGGCCTGTCTGATAGTAATTTTGGCCCCAAGGAAGCCATAGAATGCTCCATTTTAACTTAAAATTATCAAAAAATTCAGACCCTGGTAGGAAGAACCCTATCTCCCCCACTTGGTAGCCGCTGAATTGCAGTGCTTCCTCTTGCAGTTTTTTTCTAGAAAAACCCTGAGAATGACAACTTGACAAGTAGAAAGCAGAGATCTATAGCAGGGAAAATTCCCATATAATGAATAGGGACTGAAATTCAATACACACATACATGTACTAAACAATGGGGTTAGTTTATTATGTTTGTGAATTTGTAGAATAATATTTTACTCAACAATAAAATAACAGAAACCCAAAATGTATTTGAAACACCATGTCACACAAGTTGACAAAACTTACCGCAATAGTAATTTTTCCAAGAATTTTTTCCGGTATTCTTTGAGCTTTCTTTAAAATAACATCTAATGACCCACCATCCTGTAAAAAAATAACACAACATAAGAAAGAAATAAACTTGTAAGCCAGGAAAAAATGCAAGATTTTTTTAACTCCCTATTTATTTATTTTTTTTATTTGAATTATTAAAGGCTAATTTACTGAAATGGTAAAATTATTTGATACATTATCATACATACTGTAAAATCTGTATTAGAAGCTGCGGTTTCTATTGAAATGCTACAATGCAACAGAGGGGATGTGGCATTTATGAGAACAATTACACAAATGAGAAATCATGAATTTTTGGTTCTCAATTGTTCAAAAAGAATGGGTGCGACTTTTAATACAGATTATACAGTACATGTAGTAGCAATGTAACAGACAAAATAGATGTTTGGTTGGTTGATCCAGAGAGAAAAAAAAGTTGAAAAAGAAAACACAGAACTAGGTAACTAGGGATAAGGCAACTGGGATATTTCCTTGCACGTAAACAGAGTCACCATCTACCAGTTCTGTTTCACATCATATCCTGTAAGGTGGACTAAATCAAAATGTAAACTCCTTGACCTTTCAGTGGTGAGGTTAGCGAACTGCTATGCACAGTTATAAACATTCTCCACAACCTCACCCACTAGTATTTATATTTTTCACATTCTTTAACGCATTGCCTGCTGAAAACTAGACAGATAGGGGAAAAAAACGGCATCCGCTTGTGAGGTGTGAAGTGAATAGGAACAACGTACAGCCTTTCACTCTGTTCTCGCCATTTTACGATACCAGAACAATCTGGATGCAGACTTTTGATCATCATAAATGCCACACATCTTTATCTAGTTTTAAGACAATTATAAGCAATAAGCTACTTTGAATATTACAAATACAGATCTTTCTTTATAAAAAGTTATCACTCTTAACAATTAGCGCAAAATTTGCCACAGAGAGCTTAAAAAATTCAAATTCAAATTCTTTTTCAACACATTAAAATCACTCCCATAACTCGCCTCAGAGATATTTTTCAATCACCAGCCATTTTTGAAAGGCCTGCACATAGTGAAGTGCTTACCATATATTCCATACAGATACTAATCTCACCATCGCTATAGAATGCCCCATAAAAGCCCACGATGTATGGAGAGTTGCAGTCATGCAAAACTTTCAGCTCTCGAATTATCTGGTTACGGATTGCTGGCTTTATTTCAAGTCTGATTAACTGTAAAGAAAGAACAGAAAAAAATAAGCGTTTTGAGACGTACAGTACTACATTTCACATGCATATAAATATATATATATTGTACAGCATCTTTCTGAAGTGAACAAGCCATGCATGGCACAGTCCTCGTTAGTTATCAAATTTAAGATGAATAGTTTTGTTTATAGTAATATAGCTGGAATATAACCATGTCAGGAATATGATTTTTTTGAATGTTTGACATTTGTATCTGATCGTCAAACAAGTACTTGTCAATATTGAGTGATATTGCTCTGGAACAGCATTCAAAATCAGCCATTTTGAATACATGTATATATATAACATGATGTATAACGAATATATAAAATTTGAATATAATCAGTCAAAGAATTTAAGAGATATGTCTCTAGAAGCCTAATCATTAAAACAAAATGGCCGCCAGTCGGCCATTTTGAATCCAATCTGAAAAATAAAATGATGTGCAACAGGAACCTGTAATGTCTAATGTGTGTTATAAGTTTGAACAAAATCCATCCATAAATGCAAGAAATGCTTGATATTCGAGGATTTTTTTAGCACAAAAATAGCCACCATTAGGCCACTTCGAAAAGGATCGTCAAATCAATATATCCGTACATCTGTGACATGATGTATAATGAATATTAAAAATTTGAACATAATCAGTCAAAACAAGTCAGACATATGGGTCTGGAAATCCATTCATTAAAACAAAATGGCCGCCAGACAGCCATTTTGAATCTGATCTGAAAAATAAAATGACGTGCATCAGGACGTGTTTAATGTATGTACCAAGTTTGAATGAAATCCATCCATAAATGCCAGAAATGCTTTGATGATTTTTTAGCACAAAAATGACAACCATTCGGCCATTTTGAATAGGATCGTCAAACCAATATATCTGCCTATCTATGACATAATGAATATTTAAAATTTGAACATAATCAGTCAAAACAAGTCTGAGATATGGGTCTAGAACCACATTCATTAAAACGAAATGGCCGCCAGTCGGCCATTTTCAATCTTATCTGAAAAACAAAATTATTTGCATCAAGGTCCCATAATGTCTAATGTATATACCAAGTTTGAACAAAATCCATCTGTAAACAGCAGAGAAATGCTTGATTTTTTAGGATTTTTTAGGACAAAAATGGCTGCCATTCGGCCATCTTGAAACAGATTGGAAACAAATTGACGTGCATATGTATGATATCATGTATGATGTATGTGTGAAGTTTGATTGTGATTGGTCCAGGCATTTCTAAGATACAGGTCCGGACGCACGCACAGACACACACACGCACGCACGCAGCACCGACACACGGAGGTCAAAACACAAGTCCCTGTTTTCAGACTGCATCCGAACGGGGACTAATGAGAAAAATGCACTGGATAAGAACAATACAATGGATATAGAGTTGAATTATGATGAAGCATACATGTATAGGCCAAAAATTGCATTGTATGCTTAACCATTAAATAAGACTTATTTTGACCATAGACACACACCTGTCATCTGAGTATGGGCAAACACTACTAATAATAGAACAAATATAGGTGTTGACCACAATGTACAAGCACCAGCGGTCAACCAATCATGTGATCATACAGAGATTTCATATTTCAATTAAAATCACAATTCAACTGCAGAAGATAAAACGATCCCCAACCAGATTTGATGTCACCTAACACATATTTTTTTAACGATTAAAAAATTTCTCGGCATTACAAATGTCTCTCACCAGTCTGATACATGTCTCTATGTGAACAGCACAGCACATCATTGTTCTATATTGGGTATGAACTAGTTGTATTTTTTTTTTACCACCTGGAAGCATTTCCAAAATGGGATTCAAACACTAAAAGCTACATTGTACGGGCTGTTGTCAGAGTTTTTACGAGCCGTTTTCAGTTTTACATGGATCCGTATGGTAACATCAAATTAAAAACTATTTAAGGTCCTTCCCCGACATTTAACCGAATAATTAGGCCTTTAACCTCATAAAAAATTATCACATTTTCTTTGTTAAAAACATCATGTCGAATAATTAATGATGTAGGACAAACTTTTCATCACTTTTAGCTGGTATGAAATGTATTTTTGAAGAAAAATTATATTAAATCATTATTTCAGATAAAATAATTAGTATTCAGCAGATTTCTCTAAATTCTAGACAATCATCAGTGACCATCTTATTCAAATATACATTATACAATTTTTTTTTTTACACTAAATGCAGCTGAATACAATTTCAAGACATAACCATACAATAACCATACATTTTTTTCTGACAGGGTTCTCCCAAAAACATAGTGTAGGGGCTCCGCTCCACTTTATAATGTTTGAATAAACAATACTTAATTAATTACCATATATTGTTATGCAAATTAGCCAAAATGCTATGCTATTTTTCTGGGTAAAGCTCAGACTGGGTACTGTGAACAAGAACACCAACAAATACAAAAACAAGTTGTAACAAGTCATGTCGTTTTTAATGAAAGTGTATAATAGATTGAATGTGTACATATCTGTACATTGTATGTTGTACGTTTCGTGATACGAGCGGTAATCTTTCCAAATTGATTACAGGTTTGAACTAAATCGATCAATGAATATCTGAAATAAGGTTCGGCAAAGGTTTCATATTGTTTATTCTGATCAACAAGATAGATAGGTATGATACAAACTGGATTCAGTTGTGTGATTTCTTTTAATTGTCTGTACACGATATTCGTGTCTTTTTTATTACAACATTTTTCCCTTGACTGCTACACTAGTATTGCACACAGGATACAAGCGGGAGTCAGTTGTAGCTTTTTAGAAACAGATCATGACACAAATTGTTATGTACAGTATATGAATGATACATGAATGTCTGTATGAAAAGATTTAACTATGATGCATTTTTAGCCTCGAATGGCTGCCATTTTGCCATCTTGAATCAAATCATGACACAAATGATGTGCATATGGCCAATATGATGTCTGGTATATGGGTAAAGTTTGAACTTGATCAGTCTTAGCATGTCAGAAATATGGAACCAGACCCGCATTCTTTAATACAAAATGGCTACTAGACGACCCCTTTTGAAAACAATCAAAAAAAATAAAATCAAAGATAGCTTAGAAAGAACTGCATAAATGTTTTCAAACAAGAAGCTTGGCAACTAATATTTGTCTGCTATTTGAGATGCACAACAACAAAACAATGTTTATAATACAGACAGACAGGGTAACTGCAAAGATTTCCATTATGTGCTTTGCACACAGGCGGCTAAACCAAATCCATTCACACATAATTGAGATCCAGTCCTGGAATGGTAAAAATGTATGATTTTGATGCAAATTTTGCCTTAAAATGGCTGACCACCATTTTTAAACAGATTCAAAAATAAATAAATAAAATGATGTGCATCAAATCTGACAGATCTGGTTCCAGAATGATGGAAATGCATAATTTTGATACATTTTTTTTAGCCTTAAAATGAAGGTTATTTTGAATCTGATCCAGACACAAATACTTGTGTACATGCGTGGCATGACATTTTAACTTGATCAGTGCAGACACACGGATGAATGAATGCATGGAGGTTGATCTACAAGTTATCGTTTTCGATACAGGAACACAAAATCTGATCACCTGATTACCTTTCTAATAATTTATATTGAGTTATTATTCTCCCCCTAAAAATGTTTAACACAAATTAATAAGTAGAAGGGGGAGAGAGGACTAGTCTAGAATGCTCTGGGAAAAACCCTGCACATTAATCATCTAGCTTGACACTTACATAGGCACTTTAAAGCAGCCTCCCAAGCGGACATTTCAGTTTTCTGTATATACTAGTAGTTGGACTTTGTCCTCTGTACACACCTCACACACATGTACGTAACAAATCTACCTGACATATGAATATATATTAAGCAAAGGTGAATGTAGCAAGTGACATACTGCCAAAGTTATTCCTCAAGTGATTTTTTGTAATATAAACAATGTTCTTCCAAGAAAATTGTCTCAGGGCTGTGGCTAATTTGCATATTAATTTGCATCCTAATTAACATAATGTACTAATATATTTGTTTTTTTAATTCGTATCTGTTATTTCAAAAGAAATCATAACTATGAAACCATTAAAATTGAGAACTATGTAAATTTGACCCCCTCCCTCCCCAATCCTTTGTTTTAATGCTCTCTTAGCTTTGCACATGTGCTGGTAATACTACATGTCAACAGTAAAACAACATGGTCGCCGTTAAGAACTATTCATCTAGTTTGGAGCCTTATTTATTTTCCTGTTATAAATAGAGGTTAATTGTGCTTGCTAAACATTTAAACCATACTCCTGACTTAATCAGTAAGGAAATAAACTGGCTGATTACCCCCCTGGTATAAACATTTGTCTCTGGTGGCC